CCTGAAAATGCACTTTTGAGTTGCTGTTTTATGTGTGTGTGTTTTTTTTTTTTTTTTTTTTTTTTAATAATATGTTAGTAAGAAGTGCACTCTATAGATTGGTGTGAAGTTTGCTTGGGATGGCCTTATGGTTTTCTTATGAATTGAGGTGAAAAATGGGGGGTCGGTTAACCTTTTCTTGATTACATGGTCGTGCACGGCTTGAGGAGAGCAGCCCGAATCTGCAATATTTTTTTTGGGGGGTGGTAGGGGTTATGGGGGAGCTATAGGGGGGGTATAGGGGGTTGTATGGGGACTGGTACGCGCGCCTACCGCCTACGATAGGCGTTGGTGGTAGGCGCCAAAACTACCCTGCCTCTGCACATAAGAATTGACCATACCAAAGTACGCCATGTGGCTTGGAGGTACATGGGCAAGCTAGAGGGTTGTAGTTCAATAAAGAAAATAGAAATTCTTGCAGATATCACAATATGCATTTGTTTAAAAAAAAAAAGAAAAAAAAAAGGATTTGTTACAAGGCTACCATCCGGGCCGCCCGGGTCACTTGTTTGCCCGGGCGACCCGGCCGTGCAAGGGCCAAAGAGTGTCCCAGCAAAAAAAAAAAATCCTCCAAAAAATCAGAAAAAAAAACAATGTTATGCAGAGAAATCAATTGACCAACTTTTGCCTCAGGGTCACATCAAAATTCTTCACCGAATTGCAAATAAAAAAAAAGTTCAAAGATAATGTTTTTGTTTTTATTTTTTTTATTTTTTTTGGCCCGGCCGGGCAAGTGGTCCCGGGCCACTCTGCTAGATTTGTTATGCAATAGTAGCAATACTATTGAAATACAGTAAGTAAGGAAAACAGCTGGATAGTTAGAGGAGGCGTAGTCAGGCATTCACCAAGTCCTGCGGCTGTGAAATATGATTTGATTAAAAACAGAACAAAGAGTATGAGCAACACAAGGGTGCATAAATTGGTGACTAAAGACCAACAGAAAAAATATACAGAATCAAGTTACTTAATCAAGGGAAGGCTGCAAGGCAGTGAAAAAGAGAGGACCTGTTAGGAGGCAAGAGGGTGAAGAACGAAAGAATAGAGAGAGAGTTAGAAGGGTTGATGCTAGGAACAGTAATTACCTCTGCCTCTAAGCCTAAGGCCGCTCTCGCTTGCCCTCTTCGTTTCCATGCTTCAATTTGTTTAGGAGAACACTCGATCGCCTGAGAATGCAGTATAGGCCCAACACATTCAGCAGATTCATGGACATAGCATTCTGCACCGTCAATCGCAATCAGACATCCCAATGTTCCATTGCACCCAAATTCTCTGGGAAGAAGAAAGAACAACATATTCATGGAGGCAACATTCCGCACCGTCAACCGTTGCAATTGAACCACGCACAACATACATGCCAATTGAATCAATCGTTGCAATTGAACAGCAGATTCATGGACTCAGTAGCTCAATGCCAGCCGGCGTGGCAATTGTGTACTGAGAATGCTCAGCTAGGTCTTCCATGTGTTCATCCGCCTCATCCTTGCAATGTATGTCCTCTCTATCGTCAAGGACATACTGCTTCTCCAGCCTTTTCTTATCCTTTTCTTTGCTCTCATCTTCATTCCACACTCCTTACTTTCCCTTACTTTCCCTTTGTCTTCCTTTGCTTTGTCTTCTGTCCATCTCTTCTCTGTGTTTATCCCTCCCCCCTTTACTCTGCCTCTTTCTCACAGCGGACAAGTGGGCCACTATAGCACACGGAGGTCCGGGCGGCTCGTGCCCAACTTCATCAATGTGGCAAGCCTTCTACATGAGAGGCACAGTAAAAGGGGAGTTAAAAAAAGTGCAAGGAAAATGAGCAATAGCGAGATGACAATATCCAGAATGCACAATCACATTGAAGGCCAGATAGTATCACAGTGTCCAGAAAGTAGAAATG